GTCCTCCACAACTAGACTGAAGAACAAAATGACAGCAACTTGTCTGTTCCCCTTCCCCGATTCCCCAACGCTGTTCCCCTCCCCTAATTTAAAAAAAAAAAAAAAGACTTGAAACAACAAACTGTATAGAAGAAAACATAGGTACTAAACTTATGGACCTTGGGTTCGGGGAAAAAAAAAAAGTGGGATGGGATGGCTGTGCTATTTATAATGAGAAGGACATACTTGTACATTTGTTATTGGCACATGACTGAGGATATAAACATGAATAAATTATGGTCCTTGCCCACAAGGAGCTCAAAGAGGAATGGTTGATTTGCAGATAAACAATTTTATTCGTGGGTAAACCCCATTTGGTCATGATGTATAATCCTTCTTTATGTTACATGTTGCTGGATTTGGTTCACTAGTATTTTGTTGTGGACATTTGTGTCTATTCATCAAAGATATTGGTCTATAGTTTTCGGGTTTTGGCATCAGGGTAATTCTGGCTTTACAGAGATGTTGGGAAATGTTTCCTTTTATTTTTTTGGCAAGAGTTTGTAAAAAGAATTGATATGCTTCTTTAAATGTGTGGTAGCTATTAAAGCCACATCTTACCTGGACTTCCTCTGTGTGAAGTTTTAAAATTCCTAATTCAATCTCTTGTTATAGGTCTATTCAGGTTTCATTTTTCATCTTCAAAGTTTGTCCATTTCATTTAAGTTATCTAATTTGTAGCATACAGTTGTTTATATTACTCCTTTTTCCTTTTTATTTCTGGAAAGTTAATAGTGATGCCCCCATATTCATTTCTAACTTCAGTAATTTGAGTTTCTCTTCTTTTTTTTTTACCTTGGTCAATGTAGGTAAAAGTTTGTCAGTTTTGTTGGCCGTTTCAAAGAACCAGCTTTTTTTCTTCCTTCAGTTTTTTCAGTTTTTGCTTCATGTATTTTGGGGCTTTTTTGTTAGGTGCACATATGTTTATAATTGGACTTTTTTTTATCATGATGTCCCTTTTTTTCTCTAGTAACTTTTATATTTTAAAGTCTGTTTTATCTAAGTATTGCCAATCCAGTTCTCTTCTGGTTGCTTTTCCATGGTTTAGTTTTCATCAAATTTGGAATTTTTTAGCCATTATTTCTTCATATTATCTTTCTGCTCCTTTCTCTCTCCTTTACTTTTGTGACTGCCATCATACTTATGTTGCTACACTTGATAGTGTCCCATAGGTCTTCAATTCTCTGTTCATTTTTGTTCATTGTTTTTCTTTCTGTAGCTCAGAATAGATAATCTCACTATCTTCAAGTCACTCATTCTTCCACCTGTTCAAATTTGCTGTTGTTTCTCTTGTGAATTTTCATTTCAGGTGTTGTATTGGGTCGTCGGGAAAGGCATGACACATTTTTGCGTTGAAAAACATAGAAAAATACGTCGTGACTTTCCCGATGGCCCAATACATTTCAACTCCAGAATTTCTGTTTTGATTTTTAGATAATTTCTCTCTTTAATGATATTTGTGGAAACATTGTTCTCATACTTTCTTTTATTTCTTTACATTTGGTTTCTTTAGTTCCTGAACATATTTAAAATAGCCGATTTGAAGTCTGCATTGCTGAGAGAGAGTTCCATTTCCTTGGTTGCACCCACCTTGAGTACAGCTTCCACAACACTGAACTCAGGAGAAGCAGAAAAGGGAACAAACTGTGGCTCAAGTGCCATACTCAGCTCTGAGAATTAGTATATTTTCTTGAATAAATGTTTCTCCACTTCATGTATGCACTTTGATGATATTTTTCTTTTTAAATAATTTTCACCAGCTAAATCTTTGTTGTGCTGGGGAGAGGGTCCTTAACCCACCATTCTGGAAGTCCTACTTTTGATCACTCAGTTAATTTTAATCATTCATATATATATATATATATATATATATATATGAGGTCTGACAATTAAGTTGGTGAACTCACCCTAGAAAAAGTGCTGCATACCTCATTGCTGAATATCACTATGGTCACCGTCAAAGTACTCCCCTTGGGTAGCTATGCACCAACGCCAGCACCTAGCCCACCCTTCAAAGCAATTTTGGATCTCTTTTTCTGGAATGGCTATCAGAGCTGCCGTCGAATTACCTTGATGTCCTGAATGTCATCAAAATGTCTTCCTTTCAATATTTCCTTTATCTTTGGGTAAAGAAAGAAGCCTTTGGAGGCCAGATCAGGTGAGTAGGGAGGGTTTTCCAACACAATTACTTGTTTACTGACTAAAAACTCCCTCCACAGACAGTGCCATGTGAGCTGGTGCATTGTCGTGATGCAAGAGCCATGAATTATTGGCGAAAAGTTCAGGTCATCTAACTTTTTCACACAGCCTTTTCAGCACTTCCAAATAGTAAACTTGGTTAACTGTTTGTCCGGTTGGTACAAATTCATAATGTATAATCCCTCTGATATCAAAAAAGGTTAGCAAAATCGTTGCAACAAGTTCATGAACTTAATTGTTAGACCTTTGTATTACAATATATAGATTCATATAATGCTTCTCAACCATTGATAAACATCAAAGTGTGCTGGAATGCCTGTTGAAGTATCAGATTCAGAACATACAAATCTGTTCCTTTTTGAATTTGTCTACACTCCTGTATATGGCAGATGTATAACTAGAGCTTGTTCAAAAGAAAAAGTTGTTTGTTTTTGCATACTGAGTTTGGTCAGCCTCACCTTGAGATGTCCTATGCAGTTTTTTTAACTTAGAAAGCCATTAAAGCCAACCTGTGATTAGTGATTCACCACAAAAGCAGTCTGCTTTTTGATTAAGGATACCCCTTAAGTTTCTTTAACTGTTGGTTATTTTATTTTCCTTGGAGTTATATATATAAGTGCTGTTAAGAAGAATGATGGAGAAATGTTAGAGGTGTTTTGTAGTTTTAAAACTTTTTTAATTTGTTTTTTAATGGATCATGTCTTGCTTTCCTAAAAATGAGGCTAGGACAGAATATTAGAGCCTAAAGTAAAGAAGACAACCTGGTGAAGTCAGCAGAAATGTAAACAAAGCATTCAAGCAGTGATACATAGTTGAAAAATTAAGGCTTTTATTTGCAAGAGCCTTAAAATTTTTTTGAAACACACATTTCTGACCAAAAAGTGAGTATGACAATATAGCCTGTTTCCTAGAATTAAAATTAATTTAACTTTAATAAATATTTTTTTGTTTTTTCTTGAGTTATACTTTTGGCTCTGGAAAACAGCAGAAATGGGATATTTAAATGATAATACTTTATTATTTCTTTATTAAAATAAACTTTTAGAAATTAAATGTAGAGGGGATACCCAGCTCTCCTGACGGTTATTGAGCACTACTCATTACGGAGCTTGAGAGAGCCTGAACTTGGAATGGCATGAATGCCCTTTTAATCTTGCCCTTATAGTTAGTTCTCTTTGCATGAATAATTTTGCTCCAGTGAACCATGGAAAACAGTACTGTTTGAAAAAGCACAACTATTTGACCTAAAAAGCTTCTTTACCTTGTACTGTGCCTGTTTGAATAACAGGTTTTTAAATTGGCTGATGTCATTTATTTTGCTGGTACTATTTTATCTCCTAAATACTCCCTGGTGAGTCTTGACTGATATAAAGTATCTTAAGAAAAGGTGACATTTTAAAAGATAGTTCACATTTTTGTACAGGTTTGGCAGATAGAATCTTGAAGACAAAAAAGAGTGCAAAAGAAGAAATGGTGGAGGAAATGTTGAATAAAGGTTGCATAAAAGCAAAAGGGGTCTGTTATGGCAGGTAGTCCTTTAAAAGGGAAAGCTTGGATTAGGTCAGTAATGAGAAATGTTCCTTCTTACTTTCATATTAGCAGAGGTGAAAAAATATGTATAATTAGGAAAAGACAGTACTTCCAGCATTTCAAATTGTTTGAAAACAGGGAACTATGATCCAATTAACATCACTTATTTAAGCACTTTTTTCTCATTATTCACCTTTTATCCATCACCTATTGTAGTTATTCCCAGTTAAAGGAAAAGCTTCAGATAGTAACCCAGGGGATCATAGAATACTGAGTCTAATTTCTGTACCAAGCAGGTTGGATGAGATTTCATTAGTATTGGGTTATGGGTTATATAAACTAGCACATAATGCACTCTGGGAAGAACAACATGATTAGTTAAAAAAACTTGTGCCTGACAGGTATGGTCTTTATATATATATAAAATGTATTGTGTGTGTGTGTGTGTGTATCTTTTTTTTTAAATGGTTTTATTGGGGAAGAGGGACAATGTTGGGGAATTGGGGGAGGAGAACAGCCAAGTTGTCCTTCAATCTTAGTTGTGGGCAACCTTGTTAGGAACACCCGGTCTCACCAGCTGAGCCATCCTGCCAGCTGTTGGCAGCTCAGCGGCAGCTCAGTTTGGGCACAGCTCACTGGCCCATGTGGGAATCGAACCAGCAACCCTGTTGCTCAGAGCTCACGCTCTTAACCAACTGAACCACTCGGCTGGCCCATATTCTTTATATTTGCCTTGGCAACAGAGCTACATTAACAGTAATTTTTTAAAGTTTTTTGTTTGTTTGTTTTTATTGGTTAGTTTTGTCACTGATCTTTGTGTTTTGCTAATACTGATTCATTTAATCCTCCTAGCAGTCTCATGTAAATGAGGAACCTGAGGTTCTGAGAGCAGAGCTAGTGAAGCAGCTTGGATTTGAACCCAGACAATGGTAGTGCAAGTTCTCGTGACTCAACTTGTAATAGAGATGTAGTTAATTAAAAACAGCATATAAAATGGTTTCGCTCCTCATTACCCAGCCTTTTAGCAAGACTTCTTCATTCTTGAGTTCTTTATTAATTTGTTGTCTTTTATCATCAGATAGTTTTTGTTTTGCTTTTACTCCTCTAAGAAAGGCATCTGGATGCTATATTCAGATTTTGGTTGTGTTTAAGAAGCTTTGCCTGTTTCCTTTTACTAGAATGACATCTTGACTGGGTATAATATTCTTGAGTTTTGCTATAGAAAAGTCTGTGCCAACGTGATACTGGCAGTGATTGGCTTTTAAATCTTCTTAGGGTACCTGAAATAGTCTTTCCTTATTATAGAAGGTCAATAATTTAACAATATGGGGTTGAATATATTTAATTCTGTATCTCATTTTTCTGGAACACTGCTTTCATTAAATTTGTAGATTATTTTCTCAATTTCAAGAAACTTTTTAAATAACTGAATATATTTTAGTTACCTTAGTTGAATTCTTTACCTCAAGATACTAATTATGCTTACATTAGAAAGTCTTAAATCTTTTGTTCCCCTCATTTTGTGATAATATTTCATCTTTTAGTTCTTATTTCATTGAATATTTGTTCTTTTTTTAAAAAAAGCTGTTCTGAGGTTTGTTTCTATTTATTTTGTTATAGGTTTAGTTTTTTTAAGTGCTTATGGAGGAGGGGGTGAAGTCTAAACTAAAATTTTAAAAACATATTTATAAATCATTTGGAGGGGAAAGTATACTGAGAAGTTTCTAATTTAAGTTTATACTAAGGACTTTTGAATTATAAAATGCTGAGCTATTGCTGACACTGGAAAATCTTGAGAGGGTAGGAATATACAAAAGAAGTAAGAGGTAAGTTTATGTGGGTGTTTGTACTTAATGCCTTGAATTTAAGGCATAATTTGTGCTATATTTTGTCATCTTTGACATATATTGTCCAATGCATAAACAAGATTAATAGTGAAGTATATGTGTAAAGCACAATGAAAATACAGATTTGTGAAAATATCAAATGAGCAGACTATAGTAAAGCAAGTGTGTGCCTATAAAAGCAAATGTTTTCTGGGCACCTTACATTCTTAGTTTTAGGCAACAGTAATTTTCTTTCTTTGAGACAAAATTAATGTCTTTAAAAATAAAGCTCCTTTCATTAGTGTATATATAAATCTGACAGTATGAAGCACTAGAATTTTACATGTGGTTTTTAATAGATTTTTTTCCCTCCATTACAGTGTTCATGGTAATGTTTCACCTAAGAGTAATGGCTCTCAACAGGTAAGACTTCTTAATATTAAGCTTCTAAAGCACTAAAACACTGTAGTTAATTATAACAAAATGTAGTATTATTAATTGAATTTTCATAATGGTGTAACTTTGGGGAGGTTTGTGCATTCTCTTATCTGTAAAGTGGCTCAGTAATGTGAAACCCTCTTATTTTATTCTCTAAGATGTTGTAAATAGAATAGGTACTCTATAAAGCATTTTCTGTTGCTGTGAATCCTGTAAAATGAATAGAATATTAATGTTCAGTTTATCTCTAAGATGATATGTAACATTCACGCGTATGTTTATATTTGTTCACTATGTAGATAGTATTCCATTTAATGTTCTTGTTATTGGTAAAGAGATCTTTTATCTAGGCCAATAGATGATTTTTGTAATTTGTGTCCATAGGCTTGGGGTATGAGATCTCCTGTGCTTGTGACTCCTTCCGTTTGCTCTGGTCCTGTGCTGGTGGAGATAGAGAATCTTCCAAGGAGTCCTGGAATAGACCAGCATGATAGGAAATGGTTTGTTAACCCCTTGCCAAAAAAAAAAAATATTGCTTGCTTAATGATACTCTGAATTCACAGCCATAATCTTAGAGTACTTTAAATATGATTGAAAGCAAATTATTCATATTTGTAAGCTGAAAAGAAGCAAATTGTTAAGCAGTTAGTAGGGATGGCGAAAATAAGAGATATGGATGAAGAAGCTCTGGAGTGCAGTTGTCTAAATGAAGACTATCAGCTCTCCTTATTTTGGTTAGCATGATCTGGGAGGGTTGGAGGACTCTTGTTAAAAAAAGACTTCAGTGTTAGTCAATAGAACCTTTTCCCAGATCCATAAGGAATATGTGTTTGTTACACACAACATTATAGTACTGCTATGGATTGTCTTCATTAAAGACTGAAGATAAAGCCAAAAGGGAAATGTGATTATAGTCCAGTAAAACAAAGCATGAACTACGCCATTTGAGGGGATGGAGAAATAATTTGATGGCAGGGAAGATATTTTATTTGTTTAGATTTCCAGGTTTGGGGTTTTTTTTCTTTTAGATTAATAATATATACAAATATGGATACTTTGTGGCTTATTGGGGTTAATCAGTGGGGTTCATTCTTTCCCAAATAAATGTTGTACCTTTGCAGGGGATGGGAGCTGCTCCTTAGGAATTATTTGATTTGAGTGGTCATGTTGGTTGCATCATGTTGGTGGTTCAAGTTTTGTGTCTATTAAATGAACTTTAAGAATTCATAGGATTTTTCTCTTTTTCTCTTGCTCTTAGTTTATTTACTACATGAAATCTGTTGAGTTTCTGTGGTGATCTCAAGGTTTTGGTCAGCTTTCTGTACAGCCAGTTCTTCTTCATGGTGGCGGGTCAACAGTGGTTGGTGATCATTTTCAGTCTTTGCTATGTAATTGTATTTCACTGTTACTTTGGCTTAACTAACTGCAAAGTGCTTTGCTCTTACTCTTGATGGTTGGGCATATTTTTGCTTCAGTTCCAAATAACTTGATTAGTTTCTAAGATGAGGGGATTTCTCACCGCCCCCCCCCCCATGTTTTCCTTTTTTTCCCCTTTCTACTTGAAAGTGTGGTGGGGGTACTTCATGTATGTGTGTGCATGTAGGCACACACTTAAAAGTGGGAACAGTGAGGCTCCTAAATGTTAAATTTTAGTCTTTATTTTTTTAAGCCATTGAAAAGGGTTTCCTCAGTTTCTCATTAAAAACACAGCTCTGATAAGCAGCTGTCTTAGCTCCTTGATGTTACCACAAAGTCCATTGGCAAGGAAACGTAATACTGAAACTTCAGCTATAAAAGAACTCCCTTAATATATGCTTACCTTTTATATTAATATGGAATGCGTCTGGTTTGTTTGCATCCTGTATTATGACCCTAAATCTTTATTGAGTTTTCCAACTTATATGAATACATATTTAAATCTGTTTAATGTGATTTGTTAGGCGCTACTCAGTTCCTTTGGTGCAGCCTTTAGAAAGAACGAATATTGAATCTGAGAGTATTGACTTTTAAGAAAAATGAAAAATTTGGAGCTGTGTGTCCTTCCTTTATGTAATTGTGCTGAGACCTCCTTTGCTCAAATGGAGTAAAATGGTGATCCTTAGAACCTAATGAGCCTCAGTGTATGTCAACAGTGTCATGGAACTGAATATGGAACCGGCTGGTATGTCTTGGAGCTAATGGATTCCCCAGCCTTAATTCAAAATGCATTCTGCATTTCATTCTTTGTTTCTGCATGCTTTGATTCTTATTCTTTTTAAATGAATATAAAAGAGTCCTCCTTTAGAAAGTGATACATTAATAAAATTTGGAAATGCTCCCTAGGTTTGAATAGTTGGGCAGAATAATGGGACTATTCTATTTCTGACAGATAACTTAACCAGTTTAATCTAAACCTACTCCCTATTCAGTTCTTTAGCTTTTTCTTCCGAGTGTCTTCTAAGTGACACCATTATTTCAGTGAATGATTTAGTGTATCAGTAACTTAGAATTATCCAATAAGTATCACCTTTTGAGAAACAGTTCATTTTAAATCTTTAAACCATTTATAAAAAATAACAAAAACAAAACTGAACAATATTTGCAAAATCTTGCATAAACAGAGGAGAACATAAACCTAATTTAATTTCCTAAATTTTTAGAAATTTAGGAATTTACTTATAGGGAGGGTCATGAATTTTATGGTTATTTTATGGGTTAGGTCTGATGAACAAATTGTATTTTAGTTGAAGGAAAGATTTTATTGTAACAGAGTCTTCAAGTTTGTTCTGAGAAATCCTTTTAGCTAATTCTTTTCAGTTTCCCTAAGGAAAAATGGTGAAGATTTATGTTTTAATTGAGTTAGCAAAATATTTAAATATCTACCCTTAGACATCTTTTATAATTAGGGTGATTTTTTTCTTTATAGTGATCTTAAATATGTGCTGCCCTTTTGCCATGTCACAAAACCTTGATTTTTCTGACCCTTGGCAAATGTTTTCTTTCTACTGGAGGACTCTGATCATTTCTAGCCAGGAACTGCTAGTGTGCATGTTTCACTCTTGTAGTTCTTATAGTTCTAGGCCTATCCTATCGTTCTGTGTAAAAGGTACCTGATATGCTTACTAAACTGTTTCTTTGAGGGGACTTACAATTGTCTCATTACATTATCTGTACCTGTTGAATTTCAGGCTTAGGGCCTGTGAACTTTGATAATAGAGGGAACAGAATGCTCATTCTGAATTTTGTTTCCTGAGTTTCAGTTTTGTGAATTACTTAATTTGAGGAATAACATTCACAATTGCCCTTTTCTATGTGTGTCTTTGTCCTTATGTAGAATTGTCTATTAGATATTTGAATTAAATAGGTTATAAAAGTTCTTCTCATTAGAACCTCAAGCAACATTTCTGCCTTGATTTTGGTAACAACATCAGGTACAGATACAGAGTGTCTTATTCTCTGTGAAATTTCCTCTTTATTTAATTCACTTAACTGACTCTGATTACTTATACATATCTCCACATTGACATTTTCTACTACATGTATCTTTGTGAATTTCCCCACCTTTGTTATTCCTGAATGTGATTGCATGGAGCAGATGTTGATAACTACGCATAGTAGTGATGCATGCTGATCACAGTGCCTTTCTCCTTTATTACTTCTTACACATCCATTTTCTCCTATTCCTGTTGACTAACTGTGCTCCCCTCCCACTCCCCAACCATCCAGGCTCTCTGCTGCCAGTGACTGCTGTCAACGTGGTGGAAACCAGTGGAATGCAAGAGCCTTGTCCCCACCCCAGCCTCCAAATAGAAACTACACTGACTTTGTCCATGAGCACAATGTGAAGAATGCAGGCGTCCATCATGATGTTCATTTTCCTGGCCACGCAGCCATGACTGATATATGAGTGTTAAGTCTCTTAGGCGTTGGGACTCTGTTGTGCAAGTGAAGGTATACAAGTTGATAGTATACATTCTCTAGTGTTTATAGAGGATTGATCACATCAGGAGAATTTGGGAGAAGTTATATTGAGTCACTAGTTGTGTAGTGTAGTTCATAATTGAATTCTTCTGTGAAAGGGAAAAGGTTCTGAAGACACTATATGCCATCAATGATAATGACAAATGGTTTTGTGTTGAGAGGGTATGTATGTCATTGTAAATTTGGAAAGGTGTTTCATGATTTTGAAATATTAACATATCACTCATGTCTCAGGAGAAGGTTTGTATTTGGGAATAAGCTGCCCATTTTTCACCCCACCACATGCTATCTGAATACATTGAGGTTAAAAGAATCAGACACACTAAAAACAGAATCAGAAGGAAGCATTTCCAGGCATGATGTGTCCGTCTTTAGTGATATTTTTAGTTAAAACTGCTCTTAATACACTATTTTTAATACTTCTAAAGTGACCCATGCCTTAATTTCAGTTAAATGCCTAAGATTCTATAATTTTAATTAATATAATTTTTAATTAAAAACATTTTACTTTTTAATAAACACAAATGTTTTAATTTACCAAAAAGTCTAGAAGTCACATTAATTATGTGATTCATGTAGAGAGATAAATCTGAATGGTTACTTTTGCATAATTAACTTGGTTAACCAGTGGTTAACTGAATAGTTTCATTACTGCTGAATGGTTGCACAAAATGAAAAATGTATTTACTTTTGTCCGGTCACGTTTCTCTCTTTTCTCTGTCATCTCATGCATCTGATAGATTTCCAAGGTTTGCAACAGCCTCATACAATCTGGCCTTGTACAACCTTTAAAATAAACTTCTGCAGCCAAAACTGTATCACTTTTAAATGGATTGGATATATTACTTTTTTTGGTCCTTTATGAACTTCAAAATGTAATTATCCAAGATCTCTGGTTCAATTCATAGAGGCAGATTAGCTGGAAAATGTACATTTCTGATGTCATGGGAACTGATATAAGGAAGCATTTCTTTTGTCTTTTTACAGTTTTTTAAAACTAACAAAATTTCCAGACTTCTAAATTATGCATGTAGTAATTTGAAGATATTTTATAGTCTGAGAATTTATAACACTTTAAGATAATGAAGCTTCATTATAAACAACCTAATTTTTACCATCCAACTCACCTGAAAGGTTAATCTTATTCCCCTCTGCTAAACAAAGATAAAGTTTTCAGAGGGCTAAATAGCCCAACTCCCCACCTCTGTAAGTCTGTCATCATTTAGTGAAGTTAAAAGTGGCCACTAATGTATGTGCATCATAGTTGTCTTAGACTTTACATAGCTCACATAATTGTCAAGTATTGTTGATGGTGATTTATTTCTTCAAAGAAAGGAATTTGTGTCATAACATTTTAAACACAGAAACCCTGGTTTGTGCCGTTTATGGGTGTTAACATGATTAAGAACCTACCATTTCTGTAATAGAAACCAAAAAGGCATAATAGTAACAAAGCTTTTCTGGCCTTTTAGAAAGTCCCATGGTTTGACTTCTCTCACTTTAAAATTAATCCTGAAATCTGAAGGTCAGCCTTATATGTATCTTAACAGAATCTTAACTTTGGGAAATATAGAAGGATTATAATTGAATAAGATCTTCAGTTTATATTGCAAGTAGCCATTTATATACTTACGATTTGAGTTATCAGTACTGTTACATTTAAGTGATTGAAAAATCACATCATAGTTTTTCTTTCTTGGAAACCTTGTTACATATTAAATAATTAAATAGCTCATTTGTAAATTCCTGATGAGAGAAACTGGGTTGAAGGGGTGATTATGGGGAGAAAAGGCAGCAAAGGGGGTGGGGGAAGAAAAGGGCTAAGTAGTAGAATCAAATTGTTTATTTAATAGAAGTTCCCATATGCTCCAGGATTTCCTATCAAATAATGTGAATGCTTGTTCTTGCTGTTGATGTTTTCAAGATGGATATATATGTTTCCAGAGCTATGAGGAACTTACAGATAACTCAACCTCAATTAAATAGTCATCAACCTATTTATACTATGCATTTAATTGTGCTTAAAAGGTCAGTGATCATACATCGTAGATTAGGGAACCAGTATCTGCCAGAAGCACCTTACATGGTCATGATCCATTTGATCAGAGGGAGCCATCACCATAGAACTTCAAGATCATGTGATTCAACTTCCATGCCTTGGTTAATTTTATTTAACATAATTAATTTTCACATCTTAAATTAGGTTGGTTGTATTTCACCCTAATGGTTATAGAGAGGGAAACTTACAGAACACAGCTAAGCTAATGACTGTCACACTCACACATGAAAATAAACGAGCTTTTGCTGTCTTTATTTCTTTTTATAGTAAAAACACCTCAAAGGTATTTATCTGTCTCTTTGTATAATCTGACCTTTCTGATCTTGGTAGGATAATCATAGATACACTTTTAAATGAATTTACAAAGGAAAACAAACTTCATTTGTCCTACTATGTATATAATATGTCTATATTTTAAAAAGCAGCGTAGTATACAAACATTCTAATATTGTAATATCACCAGTATAATTCAAATCATTTGGGGGGGGGGGACTTTTTAATTCATTTAAAATGCTGATCCAGAAAGTGCTATTTATAACTCTTGGATAAATCTCTATTGTTAAAATTGTCGGTGACGTAAAAAGTGCCATGTAAATATGCCAAGATATAAAACTGAAATGTGTCCTGAATGGAGGATATGAAGGCAGCTTGTTTCATAAGATAAAGCAATTAGCTGAGCTTTAATTATGGTAGTTTCTCTTATTTACTACATTTTTCCAGATTTACTTGGTTGGTACGGTAGTCATTATTTTGATTCGTAACCTTGTTTTATCACTTTTCTATGCCCTGATGTCATGCATTTCATCTTTCCATCTTGCCAAAACAGGAAAATAGATGAAGGAGGGTAAGGAGTGGAGGAGTATGGTGTCTTTGGGTTTCAGGAGGAAGAAGAGTATTGTGAAGATGACTGGCTTCACAGATATAAGAAGACCAATCCTCCACTTTGATCCCTTTTACTTCATACGTATTCACAAATGTGAACTGAAAAAGTTGGGAGATGAATGTCCCGTATTAGTGCAGCATGCTTTGAGGGTGGAAACAGTAACCGTTTGAACCATGGTGCTGTAACTATTGGGTTGTTGGAAAAATCATGACACATTTTTGCAACGAAAAGCAGAAAAAATATGTCATGACTTTTCCGACAACCCAATATTTTGGTTGAGACATATTCTTCATTTCTAAACCATAGTTAATTGCTTTGAAAGGCCATTATCTTTTTGTTAGGCTTTGAATGTTGGGTTTGAAAATAGTACTATAAAGTTGCGCTAATTTATTTTATACCCTTCCTATATAGGGCTTGTCATATGGATTTGCAAAAATAAAATAGTCTTGTGCCAATAACACTTAATCTCTTTACCACCCCATACTTCCTTCCTATATTTTAATATAAATTATACCACATCATCAGTTATTTTTGCTTCTGGAATTATTGTGAATGCTCACACATTAGATGCTTTTACATAAGAAATAGAATTTGAAGGTCCCCCTGAGGTGGGGAAACCTGTCTCTGTGTGTGCCTGTGTCTCATGTATAGAATGTGCCTTGTCATATCTTTTTTAGATATTCTGAATCACGTGAATTTAAGTATAGTGTTCTTCCTCAGCTCCACTTTTTGAAGAATATAAAAGTTTCTCATCCTATATTAATATTAATTAACTTTTACTTCAGTCACATGAAATCATTGTGAGAATTTTGTCTTGCTCAGTTGACATTAACCTTGGTGGGGTAGATATTAGGACACGATGCATGCCACTTTCAGTGGGAAATGTGTTATGTAACTTCATTTCTTCTATTCTTGACCATTGTTGATGTATAATACACTTTACCTGCTTTGAGTACTTTGGGCTGGTGGAGAGAATCACAATATTAGCCTTCTTAGAGAATTAGTGAAGAGAAAATTTCAAAAGAAATTGGTGAAAGGAAAAAATTTTTCAGTGACTTTTTAAATGATTTTTATTTTTATACTGAAGCAGGAAAACAAGTGTTCCTGTTTTTCCTGACAGGATTGTTCTCACAAATTTTTTTATTAGAAATTACCTAAGCCTCTGTGTTCCTAACAGCAAGCTGTGGCCTTAATTCTAGGTGATGGTGCTTGAGTGAACTTTTTACATTGTGTTCCTGACAACTGGCCAACATTTTGTTTATACTGGCATGGAGAAGAGATACCTGACTCAGAGAACAACATTCTCCAAGGAGTGTGCCTGAAGACTCCCTTAGTGGTTTAATAAACCTGTACTTCCTCCTATTAAAAACAGGTTCAACAGCTGCAGATCTTATTTTTTTATTGTTCAAGACATTCTTGTTTGTTTTGTTATTAACTAATTTTAATAAAGAAGAAATGAGATATACCAGTGTATGGCTAGCACTTGTAAAAAGTTGCAGAGTCCTTAATAAAGGTCTGGTCTACTGACTAATGACTGATTATTGTTCATATTAAATGAAAAGTATTTTAAATTATTAGGGATGGAGTAAAAGAAAAGAACGAAAGATAGGAGATGATAATAGGGAGAAAATTTCTGTCCTGATCTGTCCTGTGGAAGTAGTTAGAGGAGCATCCAGAGAAATTATGAAAAGCATCCCAGGATGTAAGATGCCACTAGAATATATACCATTATACAGATGTGTTTCTTAAAGCTATGTTTGTAGCCCAGCCGTTAGCTTCAGGGATTATTTAATTACAAACTCCCTAGGAGTTTGGGGAGAACACCTATGTTTAACAACTTAACATTAACTCTTTCTAGGGACACCATCAACAAAACCTTTGGAATTCTTTAGAAAGACCTGGGAAATATAGGTACTCTAGAATATCCAGGTTATCACTTTGATTGGAACTTCACAATAGCAGTTGGGAGCAACAGCAGTTAAAGGTATTTGAGTAGGTTGGAAAGGCATTGAATATCAGTCCGAGGAGGAGTTTGGATTTGGTTAGGAAGCCTGGACCAATCTTCGCAAGTTTTTAAGTAAAATATTTTGAGTGTCTTGTACTGATAATTTCCTTTTTTGATTTACCTCATTATTTGTTGAATACCTACCAGAGTATTTCCTCACTTCCTCACACAGTCACTTACAATTACTCCTTTGCAGGTACCCTCAAATTTCTTCACCTTTCCCCTATTGTACACATATGGTTAAATCCAACTCTCCACTGTGCATGTAGGTGGTGAATGTGAAATGTCACGTTGTTGAATGGCCTCACTTTAAATTTAGGCCTCTAAGTTTAGTGGGCCTTCAGTGCTGTCACATTTCCTAATCCGTTCATTGTCCCACTATGCTGGCAGTAATTTCTCTTTCAAACCTCCACCACACCTCCTAACTTCTCACTCTTTGCTCCTCACTCTCTGCTAACATATGACCTTGCTTCCTGTTTTATTGAGAAAATAAGCAACCGGAAGAGTTCTGTACACATCCACCATCTTATTAATTAACTTTTCTCTATTTGGTCATATATACTCTGCTTTTTCTGCTGTTGTAGTAGGTGGGCTGTCCATGCTCTTGTTAAAGGTGCACCTCTCCACCTATCTACTAGATCTTGACTCTCAGCTACTCAAGAACATCATTTCAGCAATTCTCTCTTGTTCTATAGCATCAGTTTTCCCTCTACGAGAATATTTTCATCAGCACAGAAACAGCCTATGATATCGCACATCATTACAGAAATCTCTAAATCCACCTCCTCTTTCAGCTATTCCCCCATTTGTTCTTTGTTCTTCTGACAGCAAAACTCCTTGCCATGAAAGAATTGTCTGTTTTTACTGCCTCTTTCCTCTCATTCTATGTTGAACCCATTCTAATCAGACTTTGTTTCTGCTAAGCTACTAAGTAGGATTATTTAGGTTATGCACTGCAGAAGAGTGCCACATTCAAGACAGTGATCACATATTTATATTAACAGTTTTCCAGCAGAAGGTACTAAATTTCTTGTTCTAATAACATCAGTTATTACATACAATTTTGCAAAGGCATGGATGTAAAGAGTCTTCAGGAGGGGCATTTAAATCCATACAGAGACTCTACATGGTCTAGTAGTGTGATGCTATCACTCCACCAAAATAGTTTTTGTACACAAATGACCTCCACATTTCTAATCCCAGTCAGTCTTCAGTCAAGTTATTAGTATTCAAAAACAGTTGCTCACTTCCTTCTTCATGAATGCTTTCCTCACTTATCTGAGGGACACCATTCTCTCTTATTGTCTCTAACCTCATTAGCCATTTTTGGTCCCCTTTGTTAATTTCTCATGTTCCTAACCCCCTAAGCTCTGTTTTAGGATCTTTTCTGCAATAATTCATTTTCTTGGTAATCATTTAGTTTTATGATTTTAAATGTCATCTATACACTAGCAGTTTTATATTTTATATCATCTGCCTTGACCTCATTTCCAGACTTACATATCCAATTTCCTATATGACATTTCTACTTAGATATCTAACATAGGCATCTTCATTTTTAAAGACTTTATTTTAAAACACTTTTAGGTTTATAGAACACTTGCAAAGGTAGTTCAGAGAGCTCCCATACCCTCGCCTCACTAGCTTTCCCAAATGTTAACATCCTATATAACCATGGTACAATGGGATTATTATCAAAACTAAGAAATTAACATTGGTACAGTACCACTAACTAAACTATGGACCTTACTCAGATTTCACCAGTTTCCACAAATGTTCCAGGATATGACTAAAGATCCTATGTTGTTTAGTTCCCTTCCATCTGTGACATTCAGTCATTCCATTTCTTTGATGACCATTTGAAGAGTACTGGTCAATACTTTGTAGGATGTCCCTCAAGTTGCGTGCATGTGATGTTTTCCTGTGATTAGATTGAGGCCATGGATTTTGGGGGAAAAATACTAGAGTCATGTTATTGAGACATCTCAAATTTAATATGTTCAAAATTGAACTAATTCAGTTTTTTTTTTTAAATCTGTAGTTTTCCCTAGCTCAGTAATTGGAAGTTCTGTTTTTCCTGTTGGTAGTCTAGTGTGTCTGTCTCAGGCTCCACTCCAGATCTACTGAATCAAACTCGAGAGGAGACCAACAGTCTTTTAACATGCCCTCCTGGAGATTCTGATACACACTCAAGTTTGAGAAGCACTAGCTTAGATCATAGCACCCAATAACCTCTTGACTCCTGCTTCATCAGTCAATAGCTCTGTCAGTAAATTCTGTTCTTTCTTCAAAATATATCCAGAATCCACCACTTGCCACCATCTCTTCTGTTTCCACCCTGTTTCAATTTTATCATTCCTTGCCTTTTACCTGGTCTCCCAGCCAATGCCCCTGCTCCTCTACTGTCTCATTTTCCCCTCAGCAGCCATGGTGATTGTAACTTAGATCACATTATTACTCTGCTCAAATCTTCCAGGGGTCCTGATCTCACAGACTAAAACCCAGAGTCCTCATCTTGACAAAAACATTTTTCCCATCCCTTACCTTCTGACCTTGTTCAATTGCCTTCAAAGACTTGCTCAAATATACAACTGTGTTCCCTCTCAGGATTTTTGTTCTTTTCCTTCTGCCTGCATATTCCCTCCAGTCTCGTTCATTCTGACACCTTTAGGTGTCTTGTCGAAGAAGCCTTTCCTGACCTCTGTAAAGTAATCACGGCTCCCCCAATCTCCTTGTCGTTCCCTATCCCTCTCACCCTGATTTGCTTTTTTTTTCTTAGTTTTTTTCTGTGTGATTTGCTTTTTATCACCTCACTTTATCTACATATTATGTGTTTACTTGTTTGTCATCTCTGTATTCTTCGATCAACTGTAAGCTTCATCAAGGGAGAGGATTTATTTTGTTTATCCCCAGAGCAGTGCCTGGCTCAGCACTCCCTAAATATTATTGGGTTGTCAGAAAAGTCATGATGTATTTTTTCTATGTTTTTTATTGCAAAAATGCGTCATGACTTTTCTGACAACCCCAGTAGTCGATTGAATGAATGCTAAGCACATCTTGGCACATTTGGTGATGCAGAAATAGTTAAAATGCTGTTTCTGGCTTTAGGAAGTGAACACTAAAATTGTGGAGATAGACGGTTTTACAAATAACTGATAAACGTGCTAAATCCTTAGGCAAGCAAGGTTGTAGAAGAGGTTGAAAGAATCCTGACATTTGTTTCAGATTTTAAGGAATACGTAGAATCAGAAGCATTATGGACTAAGCTATAGCAGAAAAAAAATGTATAGTTGAATGGTGGATGGAGTCTGAGTAATGAGTATAGAATGAATCCATGGAGAGGTATAGTAATAATGATAGCTGACATTTGAGTCCTGTGACTGGCATTATTCTGGAGGTAAAACATTTACTCCAGCAAAGCATTTAATCATAGGAACCTGTAAGGTATTTAGGCCAGTGA